TCAAGTAAGCCATAGAACTGATCTTTTGCTGCAAAAATGCAGAGAAAGGGGTTCGGAAGTTTCAGGGATCTGTAGACAGTACCATCCTCAACCTTGGACAACTCCCATACTGTAAAACCAAGCAGACAATACTCACTTCTCCCTTTGGTCGCCAAGGAAGGGTGACTGAAGTTGGAGGCTGCAAGGTTCCAGAACTGGATGGAAAGTTCCTCCATAATACAGTGAGGAGCAAGAATGTTCATGTCACATTTGTCATAGAATTCACTTCAGATAAGGCTGCAGAAACAGGCGAAAAGCACACTGCCCAGATCGTTGGGGTAGTCACCTCAGGCCGTCATTGGAAATTACATTAATTTGTATTTTGCACATTTCATTTTTTTTTATAGATTTCTTTAACGTTGTTATGGGAAATTCAACTTTTATATGAAAGGAACTTGGTTTTAAGGAGAGTTGTTGGCCCCCATCAGGGAGTTTCCGGACTCTAAGATTGCTCGTTTTCCTGATTAATCCCTTTTACAGCCATTGGGTTCTCTCCTGAGCAGCACCATGTGTGTACCTGCATTGCATAGACTTCAGTTCAAGGGGCAGCTCACCGCCGTCTTCTCAAGGGCAACTGGAGATTAGCAATCGTGCTGACATCCCGTGAGCAAATAAAAAAAAAGAAGCTACATCAGTAACCAAATGAAATTTTTAAAATTCATACATGGGATGCAAGTGCCACTGTCCATCCTTCGTTGTCCTGGAGACCGTGTTGGTGAGCTGCAGCTGTCCTTGGGGTGTAGGGACACCCACGGTGCTCCGGAATTCATTACGTGAGGAGATATGAATCACTGAGTCTCCATTCGTTTGAGATTATAGATATTTTCTAATCAGCCATTTCAGACATGTTATTACACACCTCTGGAGCACGTGGGTTTTTAGCCCAAGCCTCCTGGCTCAGGAGACGGGGCCAGTTTAGCTCCAGTTGGTTAGATGGCTGCTTTGTGATGCAGAGTGACACCAACAGCGTGGGTTCAATTCCCACACTGACTGAGGTCACCATGAAAGATTCTCCTCCTCAATCTCTTCCCCTCACTTGAGGTGTGGTTACCCTCAGTTTAAACCACCACTAGTTGTCTCTCTGTAATGGGGGAGCAGCCCTATGTTCTGGTAAAACTAAGGCAACTTCCCCTTTACTCGACGCAAAGGACAGGACACCACCAATATGTCACGTATCATTTGAGATTAGACATAACTCAAACAAATTAGCGAAGAAGAATTGATGAACTTCAGCAAAGAAAAGAATAGTTTTACTGATAACAGTGTGGAGCTGGAGGAACACAGCAGGCCAGGCAGCGGTAAAGGAACAGGAAAGCTGACGTTTCGGACCCAAAACGTCAACTTACCTGCTCCTCTGATGCTGCCTGGCCTGCTGTGTTTCTCCAGCTCCACACTATTGTCTCTGACTCCAGCATCTGCAGTTCTTGCTATCTCTGCATAGTTTTACTGAAATATTATTTCTCTCTTTGGGTGGTTTCAAACTGTAGAGTTTTGATATTAGCGCTAATTTATAGGGTATGCAATTGGTTTGCAGTACCATTTTAGGATTTGGCCTTGGCTTTCCTCTTATTTCATTTTTAAACAGTCTCCTTGGATTTTTTTGCCAATGAGGCAATTAGCACAACAGCTGGTCTTCCTGGCTTAATGACTGAAAAGGTGCTGAATGGTGTGTGTAAAGCAATTGTGACTGTTTAATTACACTGGGAGCAATTTCAAGTCTGTTTGTCAGCTTCAAAGAAGTAAAAAGAAATTGAACTCCATACCTTAAACTATGTTACCATATATTTAAAAAAAGACCCATGTATTTTGAAAAGATTTGCATTTTCTGACTGATTTGTTCACTCACCTGAATATTTGGAAAATAGGACATCATTTGTTCTCAATTGTTTCGAGGTCCTGGATAGGTGAGGTAATGCTTTTATGATAGCTGCCGTTATTAGTTAGATATAATGTTTGGTGGGCTGCTGTGGTAGTGCAACAGTGGTAGTGTCCCTACCTTTGACTCAAAAGGGCTGGGTTCAAGTTCCACCTGCTTCAGAGATGTCATAACTCTTCTAAACGGACAGATTAAAATTATTTCAGCAGCAGTTGTGGCACAGTGGTAGTGTCCACACCCTGGGCTAGAGGGTTTGACATTTTCAGGTTGATTTAAAATATGTATAATGTTGATTGCATCACTTCTCTGCATCTAAGAGGACAAGTCATGCGACCACAAAATGTAGTGCTCAATCGTGGGGCTCCGAGAATAAGACACGTTTCTCATTTTCATGAATGTTTTGCCGATGCTGGTTGTTTCCAAACTGGACTGTAGATTCTTCAGAGTATTGTCAATATCTAGCAGTGTGTGCATTTGCCTTTGTTGGTCAGTGCACTCAGTACAGGAGTTGGGATGTCATGTTGCACTGTAACATGGTTAAGCTAATTTTGGAATACTGCATTCAATTTTGGTCTCACAGGAAGGATGTTGTGAAACTTGGACGGGTTTAGAAAAGGATTAGAGGGTTTGTGTTAGAGGGAGAGGCTGAATAGGTTGGGGCTACTTTCAGAGGCTGACCGGTGACCTTTATAGAGGTTTATAAAATCATGAGAGGTGTTGAAAAGGTGAGTAGTCAAGTAGGGGAGTCCAAAACCTGAGAGCAAAGATTTAAGCGGTACCTAAGGGGCACCTTTCTCTCACAGACTGCGTGGAATGAGGTGCCTGAGGTGGTGGCAGAGGCTGGCTCAGTTATTATATTTAAAAGGCACGTGGAGTACATGAACAGAAAGAGCTTAGAGGGATATGGGCCAAATGTTGGTGAATGGGACTAGATTAAATTAGGATATCTGGTCGACATAGACGAGTTGGATCAAAGGGTCTGTTTCCATGCTGTGCACCTCTGTGATTCTACAAGTATATTTGGAATGTTGCAGAAAGTAATTATTAAGCTAATCCTTTTTCTCATTGTTTTAGGTTGAAGAAGCTTGTTCTTCAAACAATCTAAGGCCAGATATTGAGGTTTCTTTTAAACAATATTTATGAAAAGTTATTAACGGATCTGAGCTGTGCTGTTTCCAGCCTTCCAGCAGAGTCCTACCCTGTGGTTACTGTGGTCACAGTTATATCGCAGTATATCTCGGAGGCATCTCTGCATATTCATTAAAGGTTATGGAGCATGTAGCCTGCTGGCGTGTATTCATTATTGGAAAGGGCCAGCAGATCCTTTGTGAAATATGCAGCCGATGACTGACTTGTATTCATTTTCAGAGGCTCTATGGTGAATTGTATGATGCGGGGCTATGCTTGTTCCTGAGGCAAAAAAAAAGTAATTCTGTTTAAATGAAAGATTAAAATGACTGTAAAAGGAGTCAAATCATTTTCAGACATAAACTGAATCTACATGCAGATTTCTTCCCCCTCAGAGGAGGGTAATGGTTTTCCCAGTGCTAAAACTAGATTTCTTTCACCTGGCTTGAAAGATAGTCTCTTAAAATAATGGGAAGAGGCAGGTAAATGAATTTGTGTAAATGTAGATTTGGAATGCTGATCATAAGATATTTGAAAGTGGCTACTGGATTCATATGACAGTATTTAAGGGTACTGGGGTTTCAAATTCTTTGAATCCTCCCATAGCAGCAGGTTGTGGTGAGGCCAAAATCAATTTGAATTTAAATTTGTCCAAATTAAACTGAGATGGTGCAATTTAGCTCAGTTCTCATCTTTGTTTCCCCTTGTAGGAGAGCCTAGTACCAGGAGACTCAGTTTAAAAATAAGGGTCTTCCAATTAAGATGGAGATGAGAAATATTTTCTGAGGGTCTTCAGTCTTCAAAACTCCAGAGACTGGTGGAGGCAGGGTCATTGAATATCATTGTGGCAGAGATAGAGTTTTGACTGGCAAGATGTCAAAAGTTATCAAGTGGAGCAGGATTAAATGGCCTGAAAACCTACTGCTTCCCCTAATACTTTTGATTATCTGTCTGCATGAACACTTCAGAATTAGTTCAGAGATTGGCCTTGGCTCCAGTTTGAAATTGGTTTCACTTGTGAAAAAGTGATGCCATATCCTCCTTGAGGAAGGGTCACTTGACCTGAAACGTTAATTCTGATTTCTGTCCACAGGTGCTGCCAGACCTGCTGAGCTTTTCCAGCAATTTCTATTTTTGTTTCTGACTTACAACATCTGCCGTTCTTTTGGTTTTGAAACGATATTCTCTTTGTCATGTGCCTCATCATGCAGCCAAACTGGGGACACAGATATGTTGAATATTTTGTCTGTTTTTACATTTACCAGCATTGTAAAATCTGAGACCGAGATAATAACTTCAGTGCTTAGAATGTTTTTTTTTCTCATTTTATTGGATTGGCAGCATGCTGGGTGAAACAGTCCAGAAAGACACTATTGTAATAAATAGCCTGAGGGTTATATCGCAATTAAACATGATTGCTTGCTGTGCACAGTGACCTATATGAAATAATTTTGTGAAGGACCCAAAGTGGATCTGTTGTATAATTATATCAATAAAGTCACTAACTTGCATCCATTGATGTATTACTAAATATTCATCTAAAGCATTTTAAAAGGAAGGCTACAACTGGGTATATGATGAGCATAGGATGCCTTTTTAATAAAATGCATGATTCCATCCAGTTGTTTCGCTCATCTGATAAGCACGTACATTTGTTAAATGCATCTTTTAAACAAGACTATATTGAAAATTCTGAATTCAGTTTAAATTGCTAAAGGAGTGGCTCTACAATCATTGCTGTTATTGCCATAGAAACTGGCCTTTCAAACGATCCACCACCTATCAACTCCACATTGCTGTAGAATTAAGTCTATGCATCAAGGTGGCAATTCATATTCCAATGCATTAACCGTGATTATATGGTTTTCATTTACTATCTCTTGTGTGGATTACCGATGATTTTGTGTAACACAGGGGAGCACTTAACGGATATTATTTTCCTCATTTTGCCCTGCAGTGTTTGAGGAGCCAGAGGATCCCAGTAACAGATTCTTCTTCTCTGAGATAACCTCTTCGGTGTCTGATGTGAAGTTCAGTCACAGTGGCCGGTACATGATGACACGAGATTACCTCACAGTTAAAGTCTGGGATCTGAACATGGAAACCAAGCCTATAGAAACATATCAGGTATTCCATATTCACCATTAGGAAGTTCAACGTAATTGCAACTTGTATATCATAGTGTCCAATGGATGGTGTCCAGGATGATGGGAATCTTGGAGAGGAACATACGCGTGGGATTGTTCCTATTTGCTGGCTTTGAAGATGGAGCCCCTGAAAACCAAATAAAAAACAGTCCCCCCCAGAATTGGAAAGCAACTCTCTGGGATGGGGGAGTGGATAGGGATGATTTGTGCCCTAATGTGCCCTTATTTAAAGATGGTGAAATGTTGACATCGTAACATATTTATAAGATGGAGATGTGTTACAAACTGATAAAAAGATTCTGCCCTTTGCATCACAAATTCCAGCTTTCAATGTACAATAGAACACTATAAAGTTCTGCACAAATTTCAAAAGCTTTCTCAGTACTTTTCAAAGGATACAGTTTGACAGGATTTTACTTTGGTTTCTATTATAAGCAATGAATTTCTTTCAGCCTCCTCCAGTTTAGTTCTCTGCATGCAGCAATCAAACACTAGCTCTAAGTATTGAGCCAAGTAACTGGCCAGAAGTATAATTAATTAGAAACAACATTGCAGCAACCTGCTGGCTCATTGTTCTTTCTGGACCTTGAGCAACAGAATCGGTTGGAAAATGATCTTTTGACTGCTGGAGCTTTTTAGTAGGGGCAGAGAACTGTGCGAGAAAGTCACATTGGTCATAATTCAGAGCATCCTTCACAGCAGGAATAATAGTAGCTTTGCCCTCATGTTATTCTTGTTTAAGTTCATTCACTGGACAAGGGCATTGCTGGCAAGGCCAACATTTATTGTCCATCCCTAATGACCCAGAGGGCAGTTAAGAGTCAACCACATTGCTGTGGGTCTGGAGTCACATGGAGGCCAGACCACGTAAGGATGGCAGTTTCCTTCCCTAAAATGGGTTTTTCACGACAATCGACAGTGGATTCATGGTCATCATTAGACTCTCAATTCTGGATTTTTATTGAATTCAATTTGCCATGGCGCGATTCGAGCCTGGGTCCCCGGAATATTGCCTGGGTCTCAGGCAGCAATGAGGAGCTGCTGACTTCGGATTGGTAGACAGCTCTTGTGGATGGAACTTCTGTCACTGGGGTCTTCGATCATGGGGAACAAACAACAGTGCAACACAGGAACAAGCCCTTCGGCCCACTAGCCTGTGCTGACACATGATACCTCTCTAACTAAAAACCTTTTCTCTTCTACTCAGTCTGTATCCTTCTATTCCCTGCCTATTCATATATTCGTTAAGATGCCTCTTAAATGTTGCTGTTGTATCTGCTTCTGCCACCTCCTATGGCAGCACATTTCAGGCACCTATCACCCACTGTGTAAAATAACTTGCCTCTCAAAGCTCCTAGCAATTGACATTTCTACCCTGGGAAAATGGCTCTGACTATCCATTCTACTCATGCCTCTCATCGTTTTTTATTTCCTCTAACAGGTCACCCTCAGAGCTTCTAATGTTCCAGTGAAAACAAACCCAGGTTTGTCCAATCTTTCATATAGCTAATACCCTCCACCTAGGCAATCTTGGTAAACCTTCTTTGTACCTATGCAAAGCCTCCACATCCTTCTGTTTGTGTGGTCACCAGAATTGTACGCAATATTCCAAATGTGGCCTAAACAAAGGTCTGTACAGTCTATTCGCTGCGGAACAATGAGCCAGCTCAGCAAGCAAGCAAACCAACCAACCACAACATCCACAACCCGAGCTACAAATCTACTCTTAAAACCTTAAAGGTCCATACAGCTGCAACATGACTTGCCAATTTTATACTCTATGCCCCAAGCAATGAAGACAAACATGCCATATTCCATCTTGACCACCTTATCCACTTATGTTACCACTTTCAGAGAACTGTGGACCTCTGTACCTTAATGCTTCTAATGGTTCTGCCATTTACTACATACTTCCCTCGTACATTAGACCCTCCAAAATGTATCACCTTGCATTTGTCTGGATAAAGGAAGGCCTGAGTGTGACCACCTAAGTGCCTGAAGGACACTTGATTCCATTAGGCATGCCCCAGATAACTGCCTAGTGTCCCCATGGTCCTCTGTCCAGTGGGCAAGAGTCCTGGCTGTTGTTTACCAGGTACAAAAACCATTATCTTTGCCAGAAGGGCACTCGAGTTATCTGATCTTCTTTGCTGTTAAAAATAATGTAAAACAAAATCAATTAAACCATGTTCGCCTCGCGATGCTCAGCAGGCCTCAAAATTCCTGCCAGTCACTCTATTCGGGTCTCACTTTCAAAACCATGAAAGACAGGCAAAATGAATGATCCTCCATGTAGGTCCTACTTATCCTTGACCGAGAGGTAAATCAGGAGATTGTGTTTAAACACAATTAACAGGAAATTTTACCTACCTTTGGAAGAATATATGGGGCGTGAAAGTTTCTTGTATCCGAACGTATAACGTATAAAGTCACACTGTAGCCATCATAATTTCCAAATTAGAAATAAATTGTATTTAGTCATTGGCAAATACACAGCTGGGACCCAGACTTCACTGTGACAAAGGATGCCACCTTTTCCTCCTTAAACTGAAGTCGGCCATTGCATCTTTTGTTAACTTCTGTTTCATTACCTTTCTTGTATCTACGTGCGCTTCCCAAGACACACTCGAAGCTTACATGCAGCTGACTGCATGCCTCATGCGGTATTTTCATTCTTTTTCTCCAAAGTTTGCATCATCCTTTAGGGACTTTGATGACTTGCTCTACAAGATCTTTAGTTGACATGGGGACAATTAACTTGAACAAGTAATGCTTCAACATCAGAAAGTGCTGCAAGGCAGATACACTTTCTTGTAATAATACCAGTGAGTTGGAATGGTTTGTTTTACTAAACCTGGTTGGTTCTCTTCATTTTGCTCTATTCTCAGAGGTGCCTCACTAGAACCATCTCTTCTATCTTGTTGTGCTTTTATTAAATTTTCTTAATAATTAAATCACTTAACAGAAAATATGTTAGCCAGCTTTTTTAATGAGGTATGCTCTGAGCAATCATTCTCCCAGACTTATTCAGTCAAAAGGTTGAGAGGCCATTTTCCAGTTACATTCATGTCCTTCAAGATGAATTAACTAGGGATGTTAGGAAGAGGGAGGCTGCAAGGGACGAGCAGGAAATCGCTAAGGAGAGAAAATAATTTTAAACCTGTGACTAAAGGAAAACTCCACGAACTAGTAGCTGTGAAAGACTTGGAATCAGTGAGATAATGAATTCCATGCAAATTAATGTGGAACTCCTAGCTTAAAATTGCATAGATTCAGGAATGACTATATGGAGGATTAATACAGTGAACGCTATAGTAATCAGCACTGACCATTATTAAATTAATATCTGAGATATTTTAACTAGGTAGTTACTACCCATTTTACTGCACCTGAGATTGAGATCTGAGGTGCAGCAAAAAGGGTAGTAACTACCTCGTTAAAATATTCCAACTTTGTGAATATACAGCAGAAATGCATTATCTATCACCTGACCAGTGGAAAGTGATGACTTTCATGTTTAAAAGAATATGCCACAACTCCTTGACCTCAATTGGAATTCTGATTCCAAGGTATGCAGTATTGTATTTGGTGTCTGTGATACGAAATGTAGATGAATCACAGAGATTTGTTTATTTATTTATCAATAAATCATTTATTGCTTATTACAGGCATACAATTCTAAAACTAATTTTCTATCTTAATACTCCCGTGCAATATGTATATAAAATATAAATGCACATCTATTGTATTTGATCTAGTACATATTCATGCTGCAAAATGGTTTACATCTGAAACATATTCACAGTAGTCTGGTTTCCATCTACTGTAGTAGTTAGCCTGACTGACCTAGTGCAATTAATTCGTTGTCAGATTACTTTATTTTCAACAGCTATTCACAATCAAAAGAGTGGTGTGTATCTAGTGTACATTTGCAGTCACAAAGGCATTGAAAAACACCCTGAGAGAGCAATTATTGTCTTTAGAAAGTTTCACGTGCAGAATAGTTGATGGTAATTGTGTACTTTAGCAAAGAAAGGATTGTCTAGCATTGCTGCACATAATTGATGACTGATTTTGGCAGTAATATACTCCGCATGAGAAGAATTGTATTGATTATGCTTTCATTTTGGAATTGGTTTAAAAACTTGTGATTCTATGATGTTGCCGATTGCTATTAATTAGAATTCTTCTCATTGTTTAATTTTATTTTGTTAACAGATTCACGATTACCTCCGGAGTAAGCTTTGCTCTCTTTACGAGAATGACTGCATCTTTGACAAATTTGAATGTGCATGGAATGGCTCAGACAGGTCAGTATTCCTGAATTTTCACTTAATTCTAGGCATCACAATGTGAACAGCCTGCTTTGGTGTTCCTGAGCATTTGAGTTTTCCTCAGTTGGAAGATGGTTGTCAATGCCACATAATCATTGGACCCCTCTAACCAAGTCATCATGGATTCCCATTATTTTAAGACAGGACTTTTTCATGTTCCACAAGAATTTGCAGCCTTTCTTTTGAGGTGGTGGACCGTGCTTTCTTTTTAATTTAATTTCATTGTGAATGAAGAAGGAAAAATGTTAGATCAATATGTTTGGAGCCCCCATTTACTGTGCTGTGATTGTGAATGATTATTGCATTTGATGTCTTTCACACACTTTCTCCTAATTCGCAGCAGAAAATGGAAATCTCCGAGTGCCTGGCCTAGTAGGAAGCACAAAAGCTCTGCAGGGCAGCGCCACATTACACACAGATTTGCTTATTGAGAGTTTTCTACATTACTGTGATGTTTTGGATATTTGGTTAAGTGAACATTTCTTTCTGTGCAGAGCTGAAGGAATAGGGTAATGGTATATGTAAACTTGCTGACAGCACTTAATTAGGTGGTACAGTAATATAGATGGGAACAGAGAGTTACACGTGGAACCAAGTCAAGCCATATTAGCAAGCATGGATTATTCCAGTGCCTCAAGTAGTACTAAGCAGGACAGATGCAAAGCTGCTCTTCTTGTGGTGAGTGTACTTGTCCTGAGTGAGATATGGCAGTTCCGGTTGGGTAGAGGGGAGAATTTGGTTGTCTGAGATGCGGTGGAAGTGAGGTTATTTTATTTATTCATTGGGCACAGACCAATTCTGTTTCATGCAGTTTGCGTATCGAGTGGCACTCTTAACTAGAGGTAAGCTGGAAGTCTGAAATAAGAACTCAGCGTGGCAGGCAGCATCTATAGAGAGACAAAGCAGAATTAACATTCAAGGTTTCTGGCCTTCTGTCACTTTGGGAAAGGTTAATGGTATTAATGGTAATGTCACTGAACTGATAATCCAGAGGCCAAGGCTAAAGGTCTGCAGGTGTAGATCAAGTGCCACCATAGTAGCTGGTGGAATTTAAATTCAATTAATCTGAAATATAAAGTTATTCTCAGTCATGATGACCATGATTGCCAACTTTTGATTATAAGTGTTGACTAAAATCACATCTGGTTCTATACTATTCTTCAGGGAATTAAATCTGCCGTATTTATCTGGTTTGGCCAAACTGAGACTCCGGATCTACAATGTGCTTGATTCTGAACTGCCTGCTCAGATAGCCTTGCAAATCCTTCAGTTAGGGATAGCCAACAAATGTTGGCTTTTCCAGCGACACTCATGTCCCATAAATCAAAAGACTTTTTAATCAAATTTAGAGCAGAAGAAGTGGGTGAGCTAAAGAACAGAAAAAGTAGTTCTGTGATTTGAACAAGAGTAGAGAGATATTAAGTAATAAGGCAAGATATTCGACCCAAAAGAAGATGCTAATGGAACAAGAAAAGAAACAATAGATGGCTCTACAGAAGATGTAAATGGGAATTAAGACCAACATCTAGCCAGCCAAAGAATATGTGACCAGAGGTAATGATCTGAAATTGTCAAGCTTAACAGTGAGATTTGAAGGCTGTAAAGTGTCACATTGAAGAATGAGTTACTGTTCCTTTATCTAACATTCATCTTCACTGAAGCTGTACAGAAGATTGAGGATAGAGGTTAGGTTGGGAGTTGGGGTAGAGAATTAACACAACTTGGGGTTTTAAAAAAAAACAGTTCTGGGGTTTAAAGAGAAGACTGAGGCAGAGGTCTATCAAGGCAGCTTTATTTGTGGATCTTACAAAGGAAAGAGAACCAGGTTGTGGGCCCACATGGTTAGACATTGTCAAGAAAAGATCTCCAGAAGATTTAAGGTGAGTGATACTCTTGTAACAATAGCTGATGGGAGGTGGTGGTAGGGGTGGCAGTAATGGTCCAAGATGAGGTAGGAGGAGGTATCAGAGTTGGCATTCAACCTCTGCTTGGAATAAGGGACGTGCTTGCCAAACGACAGCAACACCATGCTTGTGAGAAGATTTATTGATTCACAATTCTGCTAGTGTCTTGGTCAACTGTTATTCTTTAATTGATATCTCATATAGATTAAATCATTCATCATCTTGCTACTTTGTAGAATCTTGATATATGTAAGTTGGTTTCCAGCTAACCTACCTGGCAAGTAACGCTTCAAAAGCAAGTAATTGGTTGAAAATTATTGTGAACTGTGTGAAAATATGCATGGCACCTTATAAATACAAGTATGTTTGTTTTTCTCTTATATCAATTCACCAGTACTCCAGCAATAAGTACTACTGTCCTCCCTGCCTCCTGTATCAACCCCAATCCAGAATTCCAATTTGACACATAGGACACTTATCACTACATGGGCTCGTATGCAGTAGCACTGTAAAATAGGTTCAGTATTCAAGTTGGTGGCACGAAGGCAAAAATGGAATGAACACTGAAGAAAATTAATCATACTTTAGAATATCTGAACGTATACTCTGTTCTGGTCTCTCTCAATTGAAATCAAAACAAAAAGCTGATGTTTTGAGAAGCAAATAGCACTATATACAATTCATTTCTGGGTTCCTTGTTTGACTAATAGGGGTGAAATATCTTGTTTGATGTTTCATACTGTAATTCACTGAATTGGAATGAAAGGCTGATATATTATTTTAATGGTTTTTGAATCTGCTTCAAGTTGTTAATTTTCTTCACATGTAACCATCGTTAAATTATTCATTAGTGAAAGCACTGCAGCTCAGCAGGAAACAACTAAACCCACAAATATGTAGTTATGGATAATGTTCAAAAATATAAAATACAAAATACATTTTCAAATTACTTATTTGCAATGTGCCAAGTATTGTTGATTAAAATAAATCCCTTTTTTTCTTGAGCTCTGACCCTTGCCATTGACGCTTGCTCAATTTCAGTGTGGAGTAACCTTGTTTTTGTATGAATGCTTTCTCTTCTCTGTTTTACATGAAGCACGATGTGAACCCTTCCTCAACACCCATAGTAGAGTGGTAAACCGCTGACTGGTTTCTGTAATTATCATGCTTCTTGTAATATAATAAGTGTAACACATGTGATGATGACTCCTTAGTGCTTCTAACTCATAGTGGCAGTGGCAGAATGAAGTTAGACATTCAGTTATATCTTTTTATTCTTAAATTATTCAAAACGGCACTGGATTGTGGTGACAGTTGAAGCTTTTTACTGTCTTTTTACAGCATCAAAAATTTTCACTGCACTAATTTCTTTTGACATGAGGCAAATCTCCAGATATTCACAACTGAAAACTTCCATGCCAAGGTATCTTTCTGATGTGAGCAGCTTTGTTGTCCTTAAGGACTGAAGCAAGCAAATATGATTGTGTTAAGGTCACTAGCAGAGTTCAACTACAATTAAATATCTCCCGTTTTATGAATCGATTGGCTGCCGTGATGTGATACTCAAGGGGGAGTATCACAGGCACCCTAATAACTTGGAGTTATTTAGAAACCCTGTTTCGTGAAGATCTGGTACAGTATTCTTTTTTTGTATTGATTTTCTGCCGCATCACTTGGCTGAACTGCCTCTTCAGTTGTTAAGCTTCTAAGTAAGTCTGCAGTCTTTACAACAAATATTCCTGCTTTGATGGTTTCCAGCAGTGATTTGGGTATTGGAGTACAAATTTTCAGATAATGATACCTTTTCAAAAGAGTATTAATTAAAAATTAATTAAATAAAATTCTTTATTTCAGGAACAGCTTATTTCTTTGATAGATTTGATTATCTTAGTATTATTTGGAAGAAAATTCAATTGTTTTTATTGAACGTGTGTCTGGATGCATAAAGAATAGCGTATTTGGAATGTTTTTTCTTTATTCATCAGTACTCCAGCAATAAGTACTACTGCCCTCCCTGCCTCCCATATCAACCCCAATCCAGAATTCCAATTTGATGTGGAAATCAGTGATAGGGTAAGCATTTATTGTCCATCCCTTATCGTCTTTCAACTCAGTGGCTTGCTGAGCTATTTCAGAGATAAGTTAAATTGCTATCAATCTGGAGTTGCACATAGGCCAGATCAGGCAAGCTTGGAAGATTTCCTTCCCCAAAGGCTATTAGTGAGCCAGATGAGTTTTTATGACAATCAGTGATGATTATCATGGTCACCATTACTTGACCCTTTTCAATTCCAGATTTATTAATTAGATTTTACCGCTGTTCTCTCATCTCACTGTCCTTACCTTCAGTGTTCGATGAAACAGCAGTCGTTGCTACAACAAAGACAATGACAACTTGTATTTATTGTTATGATTCAAACTGATGTTTCTAACGGATGAGGTAGATCCCAGACTGAAATCTGGCTTGATAGATCATGTACTTTTTAAGTTAATGTGGTGATCTTTCACAAAAGCACAAGCTACAATGCTGTGGATCTGGTTTTAACCGTGAAACAGAAGTTTATTATGCAAAAAAAAACCAAACTAAGCTATTTGCTTAGAACATAATTTGAAGATTTCAATACATGTAACAAAACAAAATTCTATATATTCACAATCTCGTTTTACAGTACTCCACTATCAAAGAGAGTTCTCTGCTGTATCACATCTATACCTTGAAACTGTTTCTTTTAATTTCTGGTGTTGACAGCTTGAGAAACTACTTTGACATCTGACCCCAACAGGTCTTCTGCAAACTGAACATAAATTTTTTCAGTCTATGGTTTTTTATAAGCAAAAATCACTTTTTCATTCTCCTAAACAAAAAACAAACTAACACCTTTCGATATTTGCTCTGTCTTCTCCTATAACTGTCTCAATACAAATAAAATCCTCATCACTCCAGGGCTGGCTCTCAGTCACCTGCTTTCTGACACCTGTTCCAAACTTATGGCTCCAGAAAGATGGACGAGTTAACAATTAAACCTCCTTACATCTAGATCAAAGCCAACGTACCACTAGATCCAACTTCAAACTTTGAAATAAATGATATTAAGATGTATAAATTACACACCTCACA